CCTCCTCCTCCTCTTCCTCCTCCTCCCCCCCTTCCTCCTCCTCCTCCTTATCCCCGGCTGTTGTGAGAGTCTCTCCCAAGGTTCTGTCTTTGGTTCTTCTATGTTTGTCACCACAGTTGCTAGCATGATGTTATCACCTTCTACGCTATCTTCGAATGTCATCTTTGCATGTACAGGTCTGATCCCAAACTTTCTCCTGAGCTCTTGAGTGATTTTTCCCCACAACCTTTCTACACACGACTGTCCTATTTAGATAAGAAACTATGTGATATACCTGGTAGGGATGCTAAGGGCCTTTTCTAGGATGTTAAGGGTGGAAAAAACTGGACAAGGTAGAAAAATATTTCGCAAATAAAATAAAAACAGATTCAAGTGGGCATGGTAGCACATACCTGTGATCCTAGTACTGAAGAAGAAGGACCCTAAGTTCAAGCTCAGGCTAGGCAACTTAACAACTTCATGAAACCCTGTCTCAAAATAAAACATAAAAAGGGATGGGCATAATGCTCAGGGGTAAACCCCCCATGTTTGACTACCAGTAGTAAAAAAAAAGCAAGGACTCTGATGGATTTATGTAGTTCAAAGGGAGGGAAGACAGAAAGGAAAGAGAGATAGCAGGCAAAGCTTATCCCAAATTTCATAGTTTGGATAACACGAAGAATTGGCACTTCTTTACTGGAGTTACAAAATGTGTGGTAAGGGTAGATTGGAGGGGAAAATATAATGTCACTTTAGGATACTGTTAACCTCATCTCTCTATATTTTTATTCTTTTTTAATGTATTTATTACTTGGTCTCACTACACAGTTCTGATTCATAGTGATCCTCCTGGGTTCATCCTCTCAAATGCCGAGATTACAGGTACACGCCACACACCCAGTCTCATTTGCCATCTCAGCATGCCCCAGGGGTGGGGCTGGGACTGTAGGCAGGAGCTCAAACCCCCACTTAGAGAAAGTGCCTAAGCAGGTGCTTTAATCCACTGAGCTATCTTGCTGGCCCTATTTTTTCTTTAGTGCTGCTAGAGTTATCTTCCTAAAACAGAGGTCTGACCATACCATTCTCCTCTTTTTTTTTTGGTAGAGAAATTTCAGTAGAAACAGGGTAGAGGTCAATTTCCTTGACAAGAGACCTGATGCTTTACACAAACTGGCGTTGTTTGGTCTCATTGTAATCTTTGAGCACAGCAGAATTCACCAAGTAATTTCTCACCTTCTTGCCTGTGCTCAAGCTGTTCTCTCAATCTGGAATGCTCTTCCCATTTTTATTGCCTACAAAAATCCTACTCATCCTTTAGATTACACTTTGCATGCCACACCTAGAAATCCTCCTTCTACCTTGGTAAGAGTTAATGTCTATGCATTGTTTCCATAACAATGTTTATGGCTTACTGACATTAAAACATATTTACTCATACATTTCTTTTATTGATTGATAACTGCTTAAAGTTAGGAAATATATCTTAGCTATTTCCTTTTCTTGCCAAGGGCTAGCACACAACTTTCCATGTGTTTATTGTTCTTGAAATAAGAAATGAAAAGAAGAAGGTGGTATGAGTCAAGTGTAGAGTAGATGAAGACTCTAGGGGAGAGAAGTACTTGGAAGAGTAGGCTTGGGCTTCATTAGGGTAGTTTCAAGTGAGATGGAAACTTTGAGTTGTGAAGAACAGGTGTGGAGAATAATGATGAGACATTGGATTCTGGGTTATATTAGGGACTCCTCCCTTAGCACATAATCCTGTAATACAAAATCATGCATGTACATATATAGCCTCCTAGCCACAGGTAGACAGGCCAAATTGTCAAGTCCTTCTTCAGTAGGAAATTCTTTTTCTGCTCATTTAAAAAGCTACCTGGGCTCTTTGTATAATGGAGACTCCTACATAGTTAGCTACTGCTGTCCATTGTCTGATGCCATAAAGCGATGGAACCTTGACTGATAGCATGGTTATGACCCAACGCTATGCCCATTTATTTAATTGTAGGAAAGATGGACAAGGGCACATTCTGATTAATGAGATTTCTTTGACCCTTAATTATTCTTTTCATATGTTAGTCTCTTTCATCAACCTGTTTTTATTTTCAGCAGCACAGGGGAAAAATGAAAGACACTGTCTTGCAATATGAATCCTAAAATAATAAAATTGATGGCTTTCCTTCTGGATGTTTACATACATCCGTGTTATATTTAGAACTGTCTTACAAATGCACTCTATGTATTATATATATTCTATGTCTTATGGCACCATATTTTCATCTTTTATTAGTAAAAGGACTTAGCAGTGGTGTGTGTTGAAAACTGAAAAGACACAAAGAAGACCCATGTTCTGAACATTTACATTTTTAATTAGCTGTTTCTCATAAGGAGAGATACACCCTGTTCAACCCCAGAGAATTTAGGAATTATATGCACAGAAAAAAACACCAAGCAAATGAAATGTTTTGTTCCTAGCTGAAGTATTCCCTCAGCCCTACTGGTGGACCTGAATTCATAGTGAGTTGGGAACTGTGGGAGTTGCCTGGGTCCTTGTGCTTGGGCTTGAGGCTGGCCCTCGGATGCTGGATGGTGACTTTGCTTCCTTGGCTCCACCTGGGTTCTCCCGTGGGTCTTCCAGGTCAAGGAGGCTGCTTATGGCAGAAGGCAACCTATGCTCCTGGCAAGTGGCTTCTCCGGAGTCACAAGGTAGCTCCTTCTCATTATGGAAATCAAGAAACAAACCCCAGGGCTGCGTAATGAGGCTCCGCCTAGCATGCACTAAGCCCTGGGTTTATGCCCCAACAATGAAAAAAAATTCACACAAAAATGAAAACGAAACTAAGAGAGGATTCTCCCATATGGATGAGAGAAATGTTTCCTTCTCCCGGGCCAGCCTGTCCGTCCTGTTGCCTCAGCACCCAACGCTGCACTTGGCTCTGCCTCGTGCATCAGCTCTTCTCAGGATGGAAGCACCAGGTGGAAGAGGGTGAATTCATTGCCAGCACTGGTCTGGAGGCTGCAGCGGTGGCAGCGTTCACGGCACGTGTGCTAATGATAACGAGCACTTCCTGTTCACGTCTCACGAACCCAGCTTCTCCTTCCAGCCTTACTGTGGCAACCAGCCGTGCGCAAGTATAGTTGACAGCATCTCGCCCTCGCTCTACAAAGTCACTCAGGTAGTCTGCACCATGGCTTCTTGGCCATCTGGAGGCGGAAGGAGTTAACACCTGTGGGTGGACCCCAGCCTCTTCCTTCTTCTGTCTCTTGGGCTGTCTATTCTGAGGTTTCTGTGGCTCTTCCTGAGGGTCCTAGAGATGGTGTATCTCTGTTGTCTACAGCAACAACTAGCTCACCAGTGCGCCCAGAACTGGCTTTCATTTCTTGTTGTTAGCTCTTACTGTTGTCTCACTTTCACTCCTGGACTTGATTTCTGAAATAAATAAATAAATAAATAAGCCCTATTCTCAGAGCCCAGAGAAGAGACAGACAAAGATAGATGATAGGTAATAGAGGATACGTAATAGAGATATATAAGCAAAAGTGCATGTTTGTGTATGCGTATAGGTAAGCAAATAGATACAAAAGAAGATAGATTGGCTAGGTAATAGAGATGAAAAGGTAGAAAGACATGGATCATAAAGATGTTATCTATGAATGCTGGGGTCAAAACTGTTGCATAGAGAACACTCTAACAGAATTTTGCTATGAAGTGAGATGTAAGGGGACAGGTTCTCCATGGTCCTTCATAATGAAACTGACAGATCTATAGACTGCTACCTAGGAATTGCAGTAAAAAGAAAAGATTTGAAGCGGTGAGTCAAGTGATGGCATCTCACTATCTAGATAGCTTTAAGATTTGAAAGATACTCAGCTTTCGGGCATGGCTCTGGTAGAGCTCAAATTCAGGGCAGAGAATCCCAGCTCAGTGTTTGCTCTCTGCTCTACTTGTCTGATGGTGGAAACAGATCAGTTACTTCCCAGAGTCTCTGTCTAAATAGACAGGAGCAGGAGCTGACTTTCTTAAGGTATGCAGGGTTCATGGGTGCATCTTTTAAAGTGCATGGGTAGAAGAATATTTAGCACATTCTTTAATTATGCTAGAACTAAGTGACATTCATAGCTGCTAAAACATCCAGTGTTCTGCAGGAAACATTTGAAAGGCAGAAGGCAGAGAGCTCAGCAGGTGCTCTTGTGCTGGTCAGCTGGAGTGGTAGGAGATGGGAAGGGCTGTCAGACGATGAAGACGAGTGGTCCAAGACCTCCCTATTCCCATCCAGCTTTCTCCTAACTCATCTAAACAATACCTACATACAGGTTGGTAGGATATATGTAAGAGACTCTCAAGATGACTCTGACAATGCAAGCACAGTGATGTGGCTTTAATAAGAAGGGGGAAAAATTAGAGCTCTGAAACTCTACAGTGGGCAGAAAAATCTTTTTAGTCATTTTTTTTCCTCCCAAGCCTACCATGGTTGAACACATTGAGGAGTCATTTTCTTGTTATAAGAGCCTTGTAGACTCTGCCTTACAATGACTTCTGCTTCAGAAAATTACTTTTTTGTTTAGAAAGACATAGTGTCATTTATGAAATGTTCTGTTAGATGGGGAAGGGTCCAAAATCAGTTAACTAAACCTTTCTTTTATAAGATGCTGAATGGTATGTTGTCATCATACCTCGATTTACGTCTGAGCCAAGCTTAAACTCCATTGTGATATCCCTTGTGACTGGAAAACATTATGTATAATTAGATATTCTTACTAAATGTGTGGAACATCTATAGAGACTGGTGTGGGGGAATTAACTCTGAGGTGTCAATCAAAGTTAATTTTCTGCTTCAAGTTTGCAATTCAACTGTAAAGTAAGAATTACTGGCTACTCGGCTCTATTGCAAAGGCACTACAAGGACCCAACTGGGTTTCCTTCTCCTCTTTTCAGGTCCCAACATGAGCAGGATTTGCATTTCCATTTTGCAGATTCAACCTTGAAGAAGAAATGATGAGATCTACCACCTCTGAAAGAAGAGTAAGTCTTGATAAATAATCTGAGACTACCTACACGTGGACAAGAAGAAACATGGATCCCAAGTTCCTTGGAGTTACCACACTTACCTCAGGGCTTTCTTTCTGGGCTTGTTTAGTGAATCGTTGCTACTCATAAAATAAACCTCATTTTGTGTGGGACTCTATTATTCTGAAGGAATGCTGTGTAAGGGTGCTGACTCGTGTTATTGTAAAATCAATGTATGTTTGAGGTACATAATAATATTTCTCAGTGCTAGCATCACCACCTCAGCTCTACCTCAGATCATCAGGGATTAGAGTCTCGTAAGGAGCATGCAATCTAGATCATGTTCATGTACAATTTACAGTAGGTTTTCTACTCCTGAGAGAATCCAATGCTGGTTCTGACCCGAGGGAGGAAGAGATCATGTGGTAATGTGAGTGATTAGGAGCAGCTGTGATTACAGATGAAGCTTCCCTTGCTCACCTGCTGCTCATTTCCTGCTGTACTGCCCAGTTCCTAGCAGACCATGAGTACTGGGCCACAGCCTTGCCTTAGTGCTGGTACCCTCCTTCTTGCCTATTCTTTTATGTGCACTGAGCTCCTCACCAAAAGTGCTGAGGAGACTTGAGGTACATGCCTTCCCCTTCCTAGTGCTCACCTTGTCTGTCCACCCCATGGGTGTCCTGAGGTGATGCTTCTGACTTGGGGAAGGAGACATAGTGGCTCATCATGCTTTGACACTTATCCTTGTACCTGTGACCACTGTTATGGCTCTGTTAAGTGGTCAGGCATTCTGTGGCTGCCAAACGAAGTATTGAAAGCAAATACATTGTAGAAAACATGACACTGGTCTTGGCTTAAAATATCTATACAGCATGATAGTTTAAAAAAAAAAAGAAACAAATAAAAACAAACACTGTGAGCTTGAATTAGAATTCAGACTTAAGAGAGCCCAGTTCCAGCAGAAAATATGCACCTTTTGTCATGAAGAGCTCTGCTTCCAGGCCATTTAGTTGTTGGAACCCCATTTTGGTGGAAATTATTTCCACACTGACGATTATCTTTTTTTTTTTTTTTTGGACGATTATCTTCTTTACATGGCTCGATATTCTGTCATTGGAAACATGTGAGGTAGCTATAGAGTCTAAGGGGAAAATGTGCATAAAAAACAAGATGTTCATGGCCATAGTCCTAGTGAAAAATCAAAGAAATCTGGCTGATCTAGAATCTTTTCAGAGAGTACCAGCCACCTGAGAACAAAACTGGAATTTGAATCTAATAAAAGAACGTGTTTCAATCACCTGAAAAATAGTTCCTGAATGAAAAAAAATAAGAGAAAGTAGTGTTTGATTAATGACTGGACAGTGGCAAAATGGCTCCTATGTGATCTCATTTTCAAAAAAAGTATATTTGATCACTTTAAATGTTAGAGTGAAGTGGTTCACAATTTCTTGAAACAAGTAAAGGACATTATATTTATAAGCATGTGAGTTGCGAGCCAGACCAGACTTTCTCATCTGTTGCTTTATATATTTTTATCAGTCATCACAGATTCATGGGGAAGGTTCAAATGGACAGAACTTTAAAATAGACTTTAAAAAAATGCTGTTTTAACTCACCAGAGTACTTTTCATCCTGCCTCTCCCCCTTTTCTGTTCTGTTTCTTTCTCTGGTACCTTCCTTCAAATGGTAAACTATTACTCCTACTTGCATTTGGATAGATTATTATTTAGCTTGTAAAACATACCATTTCCACCTCATTAAAATCTTTGGTTGTCCAACTTCATCAAGATAAATGGAATTATTCATTCTTTATCCCCTTTCTTGGGCTGTAGGGTCAATTAATTCATGTTAAGCAGGAGAGGGTAAGGCTGCTGCACTTTTAAATGTCACTGAATAGTTTCAGGAAGGAACTGGCTGCCACAGTCCTGAGTGACAGATATGCTCTCAACCTTAACTGAAGGGACATTCACAACTTAGTAACCATTTGCACTGTAGTGATGGCTCTTCAAAACTTGCATTTTGTAACTTCTATAAATAGGAGGTCCACTAACCTCATTAAAATATGCAGAGAAGTAAAAAAAAATAACAAAGAAAACAAGACCTTCAGAGTAACAAGTACACAAGGATGGCAACCAAGGGGCAGGGAGAAAGAAACAAGAATATAGCCAACCTTTTTTTTTTTTAATTAGAGTATATTATACTTTCAAACTGGATACACTAGAAATTGGCAATGCAACATAAGATGCAAAGGAATATACCAGTTACTGTCAAAATGACCCTGTACAGCCTTGTAATGCAAAAAGCTTTATACAATACAAATTTTCAGTAATGTACACAAACCTTGACAGTATGATCATCTGAACATAATAGGAGGAGTTAAAAAAAGATAAATGAAAGTGCTGAGAACCCTAACTGCATTACTATATGGGAAAATAAGCTAGCTTTCATGGAAGGATGCATAGTGAAAACAATTGAAGTTAGTTGATAGGTGACTTTCTCAAAGACGTTAGTGTTTTACACGGAAAGGATATCTATGGACTACATCCTTCCCTGAGTATCAAACTGCAAACCAAATTCAGGGGTATATATTATCTAGGTGGAGTCTGAAAAATGCTGTAGATTTTTCTTTATTAATAACAATAATAATATAAAAAGTCAAACAAACTGCAAACACACCTTTCTCACTCAGAAAACTTTTATAATTTACCAGAAAGATCGATGACTCTTTCCAAAGTGCTAAAAAAGTTGCCCAATTAGATTAAGCATTACTAAGTCATTCAAATACAAGTTCAGTGGCAAGCAGTGAAATGCATGGCATTTGAGCAGTCAACGGCTCCTTCCACCACCCCTGCACTCTGAAGGTTTCCATCCTTAGACCTCCTATTGCACACGCGGCACGCTCTAAAGCCCCGAGCCTTTGCTGTCAGGGCCGCCCTTGCAGGTTTTTAACCTGCTGGTGCATCAGCCTCAGTGGATCACGAGGGCCCTCTTTCCTTTCATCACTGAACTTGTAGTTTTGAAAATACATTATTAGCCAAGTGGCACATTCTCCATTATATGGGGATAAAGACATGACTTTAAAAAGAACCAACCCATTCACACGTCCAATGTTCTTGGAGTGTATTGTCCATAACTGTTGATAGTGTCTTTTACCGAGATAATGACATAGCTGAATAACATTTCAAACAAGGCCAAGAGCAAAGGTCTCTGCTAGAGAATGACTGAGGGTTTGGAGCTTTCTGCCCTAACTGGTTGGTCTCCTTGCCCCCATGGACATCTCCGCAGTGTAAACAGGTCTGCCAGGGGACGGCGCGGGGTTCCCATCCATGGCTGGATGCCTGGCAAAGAGAAGTACAGCCCAGCGGCTGGGATCAGGGAAGGAGGGCTGGTACAGAGGGGAAATGGAGACCTTGGAGTGGACAGAGGTACAGTCTTCTAACTTCTGGTAGAACTATACTTCCGACAGAATTATAGTGATTTCCAGGGGGCTTTTAGTGAAGCAAATTGACTAGAGGAAGAAAAGTAGGGATGGTTTTATTTTCCCCTGGTGAAATAGATTTTTAAAAATCCCAACTCTAGGATAACACAGTGGGAAAAGAGCAACGCGTAAGAAAGCTTGCTTCCGGTACACCAGCTCTTCAGGAGATACATAACGAACTTGTGTAGTCCAAACCTCCCACTGTTCCACAAAGCACATTTCTTCCTGCTCTTTCAGCTTTTTTCATCCTGGAAATTCTGTTGTCTTAAAAATTCAAGCAATGAACAAGTTCAGCCAAAGGGTTTTTTTTTTTTCCTTTTTCAATTATCCATTACTTTTAAAGATGAGCGGAGGGCTATGCAACTGATCCACACCTGCTTCCTACTGCAATAAAGTGCCGCACAGAAATTGCCATTTTAATGACCACAAAATAAGAGCATTAAATAAGTATAAAGTTAGCCTCCTAGCAGGTTACATCTACCAGGCGTTAACAGAATGGAATACAGAATTACTAATGACATGGCGATACTGCTGTAGCAGGGGATCCGCAAACACAACGGGGACTTTGCAGGGGTGTAGCTGAACCGTAGGACAAAACAGCACCTTTTTGTTGTGTCAAAGAGGTTGTGGCTAAAGTTTCAAACATACAGTCTACTCGTTCCATAGAAAGGTACATCTTCTTCCTTTTATTTTACTTTTTTTCCCAATGAGAAACAAAAATTAGTGCAAGACCGAAACACTGTGCAAAACTGCCGTGTCTTTTTTTTTTTTTTTTTTTTTTTTAGTCTGAGTATTTATACCCAGAATTTATCCAAACCCCTTTTAATCTCCTTGGCTGGATTTATCAACCATAAAATTTATCACTCATACAATTTTTTTTCCTGCAAACAAATGATAACCACTGAATTGATACATCTTATATATATATATATCATCTGCCCTTAAATGATGCACTGTGCGTGTGCTCCACACACATTGCATCTGAATGGGCACACACAGAAAACACGTAAGTTTTGTGATGTTAGCTGCAGGGCTGCGAGATACCTCATGCGGGCTAGTCACTGGATTCCTCGCATCTTCCTAACCAGAGAAGATCTGAGCTCAAGCCGCACAGCTCCACAGCACGGCAGATGTCTACCAGGCACCAGGCCCTACCACTCTGTAGCCGTGAAGCAGAGAGGGACAGGTGGTGGAGGAGCTCAAGGAGAGACTGCAGTGGGATGAACAACCCAGAAGGGGAAAAGAACGCTCACCGCTTTAAAAGAGGCCAGTACAAAGAATGTGCAATAGAAATGTCATGGCACACGACACACGGCTTTCTCGTTCACACTCCATTCACCCAACAGAAAACCAAATGCGCCAGGATAGAAGCTTACAAGTGCTGATTGCTATTAAGGACACTCTCTTCAGGATTTAACAAGACAGAATTCCTTGAGGAGCAAAGGATGGAGGAAGGCTGAGAGTGGGAGCGGGTGGTGGGGAGGCATGCCTCTGCAGGTAGAGTACGCGGTAGGTCACCTCTCTGAAGATTGGATAAAGCAGCTTTCAGGTCAATGCAATAGGTATACACACAGAGCCAATTCTCTATTCCTTACTAAAGATATACAGTACACGTGGTTTAGACCCCAAGGGTCTGTAGGTTTTGCAGCAACATACACCTGCTGGGGTTGTGTTTTAAGTTTTGTGGGTTTTTTTTTTTTTTTTTTTTAAATTTACTGTCCTTGTCTCTGTTTTTGGTACAGAACATCGCTGCCCTCAGACAGTCTCTGCTCTCTCTCTTAGTCCGAGATAGGCAAGGAAGGAGTGTTTGGGTGAGGGGATGCTGGGGGGTGCAGTCTGAGGTCGGGGAGGGCGGAATGTGAGATCCAAGTGGCTCTTGGGGTACAACATTGTCAAGGGAATGAGATGGGCAAAATCCGAGTTCCGGTACTTGTTGAAGCGCAGAGGGGAGCCGTTGAAGGCCAGGGCCTTGAGTGCCAGGTTGGGCTCTGAGCCGCTGCCGTGGGAGGCAGACAGGGCCACAGTCTGCAGAGCCTGTGAGGCTGACATGACCGACAGAGGAGACAGGAGATTCCGGGAGCTTCCCACAACCAGGAGCGGGGTCCCGGGGCCGGCCGGTTCCTTGGGGGCTGGACATGGGCCCTTCCTGTCCTCCTCAGGGCAGTCTCCACTCTGGTGCTTCTTGACGTGGCGGCTAAAGACGAAAGGGTGTGTGGTCTTGAACAGGCACTCTTCGCAGCTGAAGGTCTGGCGTGGGGCGTGCTTCAGCTTCTTGTGCAGGTTGAGATTGTCCTTGCGCTTGCAGCTGTAGCTGCACTGGTCACAGTGGAAGGGCCGCTCCCCGGTGTGGACACGCACGTGCTCGATGAGCTTGTTGGCGGTCTTGGACAGGTAGCCGCACTGGTCACATTTGTAGTGGTTGCCCAGGCGGTGTTCCCGTGTGTGCGTCTCCAGCTCCAGCTGGTTGGCCTTCACCGTCTGGCAGATCCGGCACTTGTACTCCATCTTGTAGTGGGTCTTGAGGTGGCACTCCATGGCGGCGGGGCGGTTGGTGGAATAAATGCAGAATGGGCACCTGCCGGGGGAAGCGACACACGCAAGGCTCAGCCAAAGAGGCTCCATGGCAGCTGCTCGTCTCCCTCCTCACGGGGCTGCCCTCGGCCCACCCTCCGGTCTCTGAGGCCTGGCCTGCCCAGCCCAGCCCTGCTGCCTCTTGGGGAGATGGCCCCGCTGACGCTCACTGTCGGCAGAGCGGTCCCCGCTGACTGCGCAGCTCCGCTAGGCCCTGCTCGGCCTACGCGGAGTCTCCCAGTTGCACCAGCCAAAGTCAGCATTCATGAGGGGAGCAGAGAAAGGGCGAGGAATAAATAAGCTGATGCTCCCCTCCAGCCCCCCGCCCGTCCCATGGGAGCCCTCCCCGCCCCCCACCAGACACGGCAGAGGTCTAACCCTCCTGACCTCCCCTCTAGATGGGAGCAACACAAAGAATCGACTTTTCATGCACCACACCAAGCACACGCAGAAAGGCTAAGAGGTTTTAAAGAACAGCTTATAGGGGAGAGCTACCTCCAGCAAACAGAAAGTCACAGGGATCAGAGTCGTGCTTATTAAAGGGTGGTTAGGGTGAGAAGGCCTGTGTGTGTCCCTGTGTGTGTCTGTGTGTGTGTGTGTGTGCATGTGTGTGTGCACATCTCCTAAAGCACTGGCTCTTCATCAGGAGAGGAAGGTGAGCAGCCCGATGGGCTCGGAGGAGCAGGAAGCCCACTCAGCGCCCCTCTACCCACGAGGGATGAGGCTGTGAGGGCAGAAAACACTCAGTATGTTACTGTCCCAGATCGTAAACTCTCAGAGGGCAGGGGCGCCTCCTGCGTTTCTTCCACAATCTCTGCAGTGCTTGGAGCGTACTCAGCACTCGAGGCGAGGTGGGCGCGCTGGGCCACGCGTCTCTTGATCTGAGTGCTCTACGCAAGTAATTGAGATATTCTCGGGGGGGGGGTCACCTTAGGGGGCTGAGGAGAAAGCCTGGGCCCCCCATCCTGGGTCGTGCACATATGCTACCCCAAACCCTCCTCGCTGACCTGAGGGGCTGGTGAGGAGTGGAGAGGACATATTTACAAAAGCTGCCTGGCTTCTCTTTTGGAAGCTGCCAGGCTTGAGGCAGTGGCTTATGTAACTATAGCGTGTTTGTTCTCTTTCCAAAGAAGAATGCAGACGCCCCAGAGGCTGCCTCAACTCTTGCTTGGCCCCTGCAGGGCGGGGCCCAGGAGTGACTGTTCTCAGAGGGTCGGAGAGGTGGTCAGCAGAGCCCAATACAACCCGGTGCACCGTGCACTGCCTCCTCAGCGCCAAGCTCGCCGTTAGCCTTGAACCTCAGCTCACAGAAGAGTGCACACGAGAGAAATATAAAGCCCATTCCCAGGTCAGGTGCACACACAACCCCTACGCCAAGCTGGGCCTTACCTAGAGGAGTCTGAAACTCACCACTGTCCTGAGCTACGGCAAAAGAAAAATAATAGTATAATCTTATTTGATCTGCATTATGAACAGGATATAGAGTACAAGCAGTTCCATCACAGAAAAGCAATTTAGACATCGGCGGTCTGTTTCACGTTAAGGACATTTCTGTGACCCACGGCTCAATCTTTCACTGCTCAGGCAAAGTGCTAAGGGTTTTCCGTGCTCCCATTATTTATCTTCAAGACACTCTCTCAGGCAAATTAATTCTACGATATGGTAAAGGAAACAAAACAAAACAAAAACAAAAACAAAAGCAAAAACAAAGACTCACTGTATAGCCAGAAGGCATTATCAATTTTTTCAAAGTATTCTTCTACTTGGTCATCCTAGAACATAAACTATTACACAGGGGCCGGTTAGCACCGCACGGGAAGTGTCTGATTCCACGAAAGCATCAGAGGTCATTGTGCATTCTCCCCAGCGGGTGGTTCAGAGGCTCAGGACGTCTTAGGTCCCCGAGGAAGGCGACTGGCAGAGCCACAACCGGCAGGGGCCTCAAAGTAATGGGTGAGACTGGGCTACAGGGAAGGCAATGAGCACGATAGTGTCCATCCATGGAAAAGCAGGGTTCTTCTCCTTTTTCATAAGAGCACATGGATATTTATAAAGGGGAGGTGGGAACAAACCCAATCAAATCCCCAGATCAGCTCTTGTGGCCATTTCCCAGCTACTGCCTGAATGTATTGTCACCACCCCTCTCCCTCCCTGCAGCCCTCCCTTCCCCCTCCCACCTAAGGAGGCCCTGGAATAAAACAAGGCACCCAGAGCAGGTGCAGCTCCCTGCCTCTGCGGTTGGCTCAGTCAAGTTTTTGAAGAGGGCACCAACCCCACTGCTCCCCATGCTCGACTCCCAGGATCCCTTGGGGTCTTCCGTCCTCACCCATTCTGGGGACTCACGCCACTTCTGTGGCAGGTGGTTAAGTGTCAATAACGGAAACATTTTAAAACAAGTCTTTTCTCTCACCTATGCTAAGTAAAAGCTAATTTTTTATTTGGTTAACTTCACGATCATTTCAGCTATAGATAAAGAGTTGTGCCTGGACAGTTTAGTCTTTCCGTGTTCAAGTACATATAGCCTCTTTCTTTTTACGACAATGTATGTGCCTCATGAACAGGGACTCTGATTTCAGGATCACTGGGCAGACTGAATTCTGATAATGCTAAGACATAAATTTCCTGAGGGTGAAAATTATATTTTATTCCTTGTGTGCCCTTTAGCACTGATATCAAGCCAGACACACAGTACGTTTGATAATAACTGACTGGTCTCACTAGAGACCAGAGAGTGTCTTACAAATATTGGTGGAGGACAAGGCTCCTAGTCTGAATCTTTCAGGAAAGGCACTGGCGTGTCCTCAGGAAGCCATGAAGCATGTGTGGTTGTATGCAAAAGGCTGCTTCCTGTCAGGTGAGACTGTCGAGGCTCCCATTTGGGGACCTGGGATACTCGCAATGCTTACTTCAAAGTTACAAGCAACCTGTCTAAAAACAAACAGGGTGAACTGCAGTAACAGTATGACTGATAGCCGGGCACAATAACCCCTCAGACCCTTAAAAGAATATCTGAACAAGACTGAAACAGTGTCAGGGGAGCTCACTTTTGCATGCTGGGACCATCTGATACCTCTTCCACCTGCCCTGAGCCCTGGGGTGTCTGTAAAGGGGAATCGCAAATGTTGACATCTGTTGACCCCTGGGGAACAGATCTAATTCAATCCAGCTAAGGGCAGCAGAAGTTCCTGACTGACTCCCCTTATACCAAGTTCCATGTCCCCGTGACCCCTAAAACCTCCAAGGAAGGGGTAAGGAAGGGGTGGGGGAGGGTGTTTAATAACAACGCAGTAAAAGGTTCTGTACTTGCTTTCCTTACTTGAGCCCACCGGTGGGGACAGTGTGGCATTTCTTATGCTCCAGCAGCTGTTCCGGGGTCTTCATAAACTTGTGGCACACGTCACACTCAAACATCCTTGTGATGAGGTGTATCTGCAGGTGGCGCTCAAACATGTTCTTCGTCTTGCAGACAAAGTTGCAAAAAACACATTCGAACCCTGCAAGGACCCAAGCTGGATGTAGAGGCGCTTGGAGCAGAGGGATAGGAGGGTAGAGGCGGGCTAAGCTCCCCCTCCTCCCCTTCCTGCACCTCCCAACAGGTGTGGCCTCCTAGGCACTGCTCCTTGCATTTCTGCACTAAAAGGAGCTAGACATACAGCTCTGGAGTTAACGCCATCCTCCTTATCCTTCCACCCCATAATTGCATGCAAATCAAGCTAAAAGAAAAAGCAAGTTTTCTGTAGTGCATAGTATACTGAATCCTGGTCCCAGCGCTGGTCTCCCCACATCATTCTTCTTTCTCTAGTGTGCATTGTCCAGATAGGCACGTCCTGTGTTGGCAGGGCTGAGCAGGCCACCCTTGCCTCCTCCCTCACCTTTCTCTGGCTTCTCCTCGTTGTTCACTGTGGGCTGGCTCCCAGGCATGACTGAAATGACCAGCAGGTTGTTCCCTCCCTTGCTTTTCTGGGAGCTATCTGAATCGTCTTTGCTGTTGGCGGAATCACTCAGGGCTGAGAGGGAGGAGGAAGAAGGGCTATTTGACTCGCTGCGGGGCTTCCTGTCTTCCCCTGAAAAAGGGAAACAATCAAGTGTGTTAGATGGGACATGAAGACCTTCACAAAGATGGTACTTGGGTGTGGGTGGGGGCTTTGGGGCGTACGTTGTTATTCCAGGAGCTTCCTGTTCTCACAGTGCACTTACTCGGATCCCAGTTCTACTGCCTGAGTGGTGATGGCACGCATGGAATCTGGGGCCAAGACCACTGATGAATCACCCATTGATAAATGTTTGGTGAGGTCTCACAAGAATTAAAATACAATGATAATAACCGCTAAGGTGTACTGAGCATGTTACTGAGTTCCAGAAATTGTCTTCTGTTTTAAATGCATTATCTCATGGTATTTCAAAAATCCTAGGAGGTGGAGCTCCGTGTTGGAACACGTGCTCAGCATACATGAGGCTCTGGGTTTGCTCCTCATCCCCCAAACAAACAAACCCTCCCCCAAATTTTATGAAGTACGCACAACTCCCCCCTCCCACCACACACAATCCTGCTATCACGTCCATTTAATAGATGAGGAAGTGAAAGCAGAGAGGGTGTAGCCTTGGATTCAGTTGCACTGATAAGTAGAAAAGAGACTTGAGTTGGTCTGGCTCTCCGGTCTCTCAGCACAATGGACTGTCCCTTAAAACATGCCACAAATTACTCAACAGGCCATCAAAATGTAGAATCAGAAGAGCTCTGCTTCTGCTCACATTAGAGTATCAGGCAGTGGGCTGCTATTACAAGAAAACTAAAGCCAACCAACCAACTTCCAAGGCAAAATATATCGATCAACAGTTTTTAAAGCACTGAATGTGAGACAGAACAAAAGAAGCAAGCCTGCTGGCTGCTCTTGCCTGCTCTAAGGGAGAGTCCAGACTGCAGGCAGAACAGAGCACCCATGAGGAGGCTAACAGGTTCCTTGAGTGCAGGAGACAGAGCTGAGGGTCTGCTGAGATCAGCACAGATAGACATTGCAAGACAGTTGTCATAGAGGAGCCAGCAGCACAGAGACCCCTGAGATTCAGAGGGTCCTCGCTGAGTACTCGGCGGAGCACAGAGCACGGCAGAAAGCACGCAAGGCTGAAGGGCACAGAAGTCACTTGAGAATGGTGCCTGTGGCTCACACAGGGCTGGGATCAGGACTTATTTCCTCTCACCAGAGATGACAAACATAATCCATTGGGCATTAGGGATAAAACAAACAAAGGCCCCTTAGCAGTGTGTAATAATCACCCTATTACCTGACATCAACCTGACAATTCAGGAAAGTAAGATCTGAGTTCAGAAAAAGATAAAGTTTCCACTGATGAAGTGAATCCTGAAAAAAGGTCAACATACTTTAGGGATGCAAAATATCAAACTGGACTTTCCCTTAAAACTTGGTAAACCACCACATATGATATCTGATTAAATATTTTTGGACATGCAACCCAAAATGAGAAGAAAAATCTGCCAGGGAAATGGCTCAGTGGAATAAGTGCTTTCCTGGCAAGCACAAGGGGCTGAGTTCAATCCCTGGTTCCAAAAAAAAAAAAAAAAAGAACTAAACTAGAACTGACACAGTGGTTAGAATTTTTAGACAAGGACATTGAAACTATATTTTATAGGTTCAACAAATCAAGCGGAGACATGGAAGATAAGAAAAAGATTCAAACCAAATTTCTATAGATGAAAATCACAATGGCAGAGATGGAAAAATACAGTGGAATGGGGCTGGCTACCAGCAGATGGGATACAGCAGAAGAAAAGATGAGTGACTGAAGGTAGTAGCTACAGAGACCATCAGAAATAAGACAGATGAAAGAGTCCTCACAATTAAAGAAAAAAACATTAGTGGATAGGATGATGAGATGCAACCCTGTATAGGTTTACTTTGGGTCACTGGTAGGCTGAGTGGGGCATAAAGGTATTTGAAATGGCCAAACTGCTTCTAAATTTGAGGAAAATTTTGATTCAAGTAGCTCAGTAAACCCTAAACATAAAAAAGCACAAGGAAAATCACACCAAGAGTGATGGTGAAGGGGGACGGTCAACTTGATTGGCTCGGGAGCTGCGCTGAGGATCAGCAGAGTGTGCTTCTGGGTAAGTCTGAGGAGGCTGGGAGCTGTGACGTGGGCCACGTCTGGTCCTCACTCCTTCCTCTCTGACTGTTTCCTGCCCTGCTTCCTGGCTCCATGAACTGCCAAGCAGCCTTGCTCCGCCGTGCCCTTCAGCCGTGTTTCTACTGTGGAGCCAGCTGGCCATGGACTGAGCGCCCCAAACCCTGGGCCAAATTAACCCTCGCCCTCCTTAAGCCATGGAGGTCGTATACAACATTGCAGTAAGAGAAGGGAACGCTGACCAACACACCAAAGAACAACATTTTAAACTGCTCAAAACACATCCTAAAAGCAACCAGAATTATTTGCAGAACAAAAATTAAGGACAGCAATGGAGCCCTCATGGGAAGCAGCACGTGTGAGACCACAGAAGCAACATCTGGGAACAACTGAAGGACCATCCAGTAGAAATTTTTCACACTGCAGAAAAATCCACCTCAAAGTGATAGCAAGCAAATAAGGCTGACATGAAAGACAAGAGAATGAACCAGCCACAGACCTGCGTGACAAGAAATGTCAAAAGCAGTCCTAGAGGAGAAAGGAAAATAGCATAGTTGCAAAAAGGATCTACACAACAGAGTGATGGGCTCTGGAAATGACAATTTCCTACGTATTTACAAAAGATAATAAAAGCAATTCAGTTTAAACAAAAATAACAACTATGTATTGTAAGGTTAACAACATATACATAAGTCAATGCTTGATAATACCATGAAGGCCAAGAGGGGGAAGCATAGAAGTATATTATCATGAGGTTCTTAAACTACACATGAACTGATTGCATTGCAAAATATTTAAAAAGTGAATGATAAATCCTAACAATACATTATTTCTGTTTAGTAAAGCTAATATTAAGATGTCATTTCTCCTTAAACAGATCTGCAGATTCAATACAATCTCATAGTTTAGACAGGGTAGAAAATACAGGAAGATTCTTCTTTGGGTTCCTTCAAATGTTGACAAGCAACTTAGTGATTATAAATTCTAGTAACTACCTTCCTTTGTTAAGGGAGTAAACAATAAACCATGTATTATATATATAAAATGCATAAAAGTCTAGAAGTAAACAAAGCTGTAAATGGCTTATGATTGGAGGATAAAATTATCAGTTTTTTTTTTTTTTTTGGTTTCCAAGTTTTTAGAGTGGCCATGTATTATTTAGCCCATTAAAACAAAGTCTGCATAAAAAAGGGGAGCAAGTGAAGTAGTTCCGTGGTAGAGCATTGAGACTAGAGAAGAGAGGAGAAAAAGGGTGGGCTTGGGAGGGGAGGGAGAGAAACAGAGACAGAGAGACAAAAAGACAGAGAAAAATAGTGTTTTCTAATCCCACTACACTCTACTACACCCTACTACATGCATATGTGCACTTAGGGTCCAGGGAAGGCAACTCTTGCTTCAGTGCACAATGTTTAAAATCTTGTTCCTATCAGAACTGAAAGCGGGGCGTGACAGATTGCATGACCTCTGCTCCCAACCATGAGGAGAGGTGGGCTATGCCTTCAGAATATGTGGTCTTCCTTTGCTACGAAGAAGCTACATGAAACTCGCACCACCACTACCAGTTCATTACCTAAGTAGCTAACTCACCAAGTCACATTTTGTGGACAAACAGAACATTTTTAGTAAAGCCCCTGAACCCTTATTATTACTTCCCGAAATCTACCTTCTAAGCCTGGTCTCACTGACAGTCTGTTACAAGTGATTATTTCAAATGGTTTTTTAATGAAAACATATGAATTTCAATTACTAGTTTTAAAAATAGATTTAACTACCTGAAGGTTTAAGGCACTGGCCAAGCCACCGAAATTCATGAATGTGTAGAGACACCAGGTGCTATGCCAGACATCTGGTGACAGCCAGGGAATACAACCCACCCTGCGCAATCCCTTGTCAAAATAGCCTGGCCTGTTTGCAGTCCCAGTTGTCTCTCGGGAGACAGCCAGGTGCCCTTGTCTGATGATGTGATTCAAATGGGGATTTTCCTTCAGCATCACAAAGATTATTGGTGAAGGGTACACCCTCACAGGTTATGACGGCCAGCCAAAGAGTAACTTGTAAGGAAAAAAATTGGAACTCCTGAACTTTTCATAACTTAAAGTAACACAATTGAGAACCTGGGGTCACACGAAGTTATCAGCTATTTTAGTGCCTTCATGAAAATGCCATATACTTTGGTGTATTTCTTGACAGTCTTAATAAAAGACAGTAAGCATCTCTACTTCAATATGTTGTCATTCACTGCATACATAATTAAGAACTTTAGATCTAGAATATCGGAGATTGAATCCCACCTGACGAGCTATGTGAACTTGGATAAGGTACGCAATTCTGTGCTTCTACTATCCCATCTGTAGGGTGTGGATGATATTAGCGCTTGCCCTTGTGGTGACTGTGGGAATGAAATGGTTTTTCACGTATTCATCACATAGATCAAGGTCTAGTCATGTAAGCATTTTAGCAGTGATTTATTATTAATATTCTTTTTTTTTTTGGGGGGTGGAACCGGGGATTGAACTCAGGCCCTTGCAACATCTCTGTGATGGCTTATGTACTTGGTGCTTTGTTGGCTCTTTAAAAACTCACGGAACTATTTACAAATGAATCACCTTAAATGATAGCATAACACCCTGTACTGTGTTCCTTGTGTACCACAGCGCTATCTCATGGGACCTCACCCCTCACCCATGTGGGCAGCCTGAGTCAGCAGTGACTTGGTAAGCTCTGTATTCTAGGACTCTATGTTTGTAGTATATGTTATGTAGCATTACTGTTGCTTTATAACTTTACAATAATAGAGCTTATTTGTGTACAGATTTAGATGGACAGATTTTCGGTCAAACACCTTATGCAAGCACTAAATACAGGAAACCTTCACTGTGAAACTGTTAGCCTGCATAGGCCTTGGTCACAAACTAGCTTCCCGTTCTCATAAATAAAGTTTTATTGGCACATGACCATCCATTTATGTAACTTCTATGACTACTTTCAGGTTCTAAGAGCAGAGCAGAGTCAAAAGGACAGAAACCACATGGCCTGAGAGCCTAAAACAATCACCATCCAGCCCTGTAAAAATGGTTTGCAGGGCTCCAGCTTACGAAAAGTATCTTAATCTTATAGCAGCAGCATTAATGGTTTCTACCGAGTGACAAAGGAAACTACTTTAAGGGGTCTCACTCCTTGTGTTCTGTACTAGCAGGTCAGAACGAGGCAAGCAGCCAACCACTGAGGAGGGACAGGGTCTCTCCTGTGTGCCCTGCAGTGACCAGGAGGCGAGTGGGTATGGTGATCAGGAGGCAAGTGGGTACGGTGACCAGGAGGCAGTTGTGAAGGCGGAGATCCCGAAGCCCAACTTCCTCAAGCCATATGGTTTCTATAGTTTCCCTGAGGCAGGCTGGCAGCAGAGGGGCTGTGGCCCCTGGTGGGATGGAGGTTCAGGCATACATTGGGGTGAAAGAGATTAGAAGAATGTGGGCTTAATGGAAAAGAGAACGAAAGCGCAACTGCAAAGCTAGTGAACGGGAGAGACTGGCCTTGTCTTCCATTACCACTCCAGAAATGCCAAATTTAATTTGCCTTCAGTGTGGGTTTCCCAGCTCACCTGCTGCCCACAGTGCTAATGTGGTTACGGTCAGACAACTGACTGTAAAAATAGCACCTTCTCACTCAGTCTAATGACTCTCTGCAGACCTCTAAGTCATAGCTGCTCAATTTACTGACTAAAACAAGCTTTTATTGTTGTTGGCACCATGAGCCAGAGTGGCCAGAGAAGCAAAGAGACCTTCCTGGCTGTGCACATGGTCAGCACAGGTGTCAGGCACATTCTCGATCCTGGTCCTTCCAGGGCTGGTGGTGTCAGGGGCTGACCCAATGCTTGGCACCCGCAGCAACATCAGCGCTTCATCTGTAAGTACTGTTAATGCCACCTAATGATTTCGCGTTGGTGTCATTTATAACCATCGCTTTGTGAAAAGTCAAAATGTTAATGTCATTAGATGGAAAGTTAACCAGGAAGGCAAGAGGCGTAAATGAAAGGCAAGCACTGATCAAGTCTTGTTATATTTGTTTTGAGAGGGTCTGGTGTCTTTGCCCTCAGCAGATGGGCCATGGGCCACGCCATATAAGAGCAAGTGTGGGTTCCCGTGAAGGGAGCAGAGCTTGCAGGATGAGGGAGGCTGTTCCCCTGCACCATGAAAGAGAAAGCAGCAAAGCCAGGAGCTGTGTGGGGCTGTCAGGACCTTGGTGATCCCAAGGGCAGCTGTGGGATGAAAACCGTCACTTCCAGTTTCTGAAGTCACTTCCTGATCGCTGACTTTGGATGGAAAATCTTACTTTTGCTAAGCCTATTTCTCTTCCTGTTGTGACAACAATAGCAGTCACCTCAGGGTTGCTATGAGGCATAGGAGCAAGCCTCGGACACCAAACAAGCTTAGCCAAGCCAGGCCTGGAGGCATGCACCTGTAGTCCCAGCACTCTGGGAGGCTGAGGCAGGAGGATCACAAGGCCGAGCCCAGCTTGGGCAACGTAGACACTTAGCAAGACCCCGTCACAAAACAAAAAATAAAAATTGGGCTGGGAAGTACCTTAGAGTGAAGACACTGGGTACAATCCTTGGGACTAGGAAAATAAAAGAGCTTAGTGACTGTTATATATGGTCATGGGGCTGGAAGAAGACCTAGGTAGGGACCAAGAACAAGACCTGTACCGCCCCACAGCATCTGCACTTGGGAATCTTTCAGGTCAGGGAGACCCAGGCTGAGCCGGGCGTGGTGTCACCCTGGCAAGGCAGTGTGGCTCTGCTTCTCCGCGGAGGCAAAGGTCCCGGTCTCACGGCAGCAGCGGTGCCTCTGCCACGAAGCAGGCACTCCGGGTGCATGGGAAGGAGCAGGAAGGGGGAGGGCTGACAGGAATGGTCACCTGTGTGCTTGCTGCCAATGTGAGCCTTTATCTCCGCCTCCTCCATGGTGATGAAGTCGCAGGCAGTGCAGCAGATGGAAAACATCCACTGCTCCTTGTCCACGTGGAGGGACATGTGGCTGACAAACTGCACATTGAGCTCGGTCTCAAATCCACACACGTGACAACTACAGGAAAGGAGGAAACAAAAGAGGAAGAGAGAGAGAGAGGAGTGAGGCACATGTCTAAATGCACTGTACTCATCTGTACGTAGCACTCTCAGGAAAACCAGAGTTTCATGTACATTTCGTCTCTACCAAAGAGTATTGGGCTAGAAAATTCTGATTCTTGGGACCCCTCTGAAGCACTCACTGTGCCGAAGAGATTAGGTGCCAGCATAACGTGACAGTCCCATACAAGTTATAATAACACTAAGTAATCATCAAGTTAATTAAGATGTATAGATTCCTGATGCTACGTGTCTCCTAACTGATCCCTCTGGGCACAGAGACACTCGACAGTGTTACCAAGGGGTCTGTGCTGCTCCACCGACAACTGAGTGTGCCGCGCACCCCAGAGTTCTCCCGTGTAGCAAGGAAAGTACACCTAGGTTGCAAAGTGCCACGCCAAGCAAAGGGCTGCCCGACTGGTGACAACTCCTGCTAGACGCTGGCCATTCATGGAGCTGCTCCGTAAAAACAAGTTCCCACCAATTCTCTGTAACAAGCTGCAGGGTTTCTTGGGACCGAAGCAAATATCGACATAAGGTTGATAACAGAAGCAAACAATACACAAGGACTAAACCAGCAGACAATACGTAATTCCTGCTGAGCACTGCCACTCCTGGGAGTTCTCAATGCATTTTTTTGTTTAAATGTATTGCGTTGTTACAAGGTCTCACTATGCAGCTCGGACTCGTACTGATCCTCCTGTTTTCAGCCTCCCCAGCTCTGGAATTACAGGCCTGTGCCACTATGCTCCAGACTCTGTGGCCAGCTCAGCCCACCCTGGGGCGGGGCTAGCGTGGCATGTGGTGCTGGGGATTGAACTGCGGTCCCTGCATGTGCCTACGCAGGCGCTTTACTCTGCTCAGCTATCTCACTGGCCTCCTCAATGCATTTTTTTTTCAGGCTTTTTCTCTATAGTTTGCAGGCAGTGCAAGGTGCTCAATTACCCATGTGGGTGCTGTGTAGACCTCACTGCTTCTCTTTGCTCTAGCTCCATTACTCCCTGGTGCTCCACTGCACAGAGGCAACGCCAAGCCCACCGCTCAACCCTTTAATTAGGGCCACCAAGCCAAGAAAGAAGCAGTCTGTACAACTGTGGGGTTTAATCTAAGCAAAGCTCACATTAAAATGAAGAGCAGCTAATGACCAAGAAAGGAGGCTGGGTGATGCTGTGTTCCGAGCAGACAGGCAGGAAGCTGCAAAGCAGGAGCCTGAGAGATGCAGGCTCTCACGCTGCTACCTGGACTCACCTGTAATAGTAAGGGTGCTTCTTCCCGTCACTGCCTTCAGAGGTGACAGCGCTGACAATGTCCTCAGTGTCTGTACTCACCAGCTTCACAGAATGGACGGTCAAGTGCTGGTTCAGGTTCGCACGGCACTTAGCAGCGTAGGGGCACAAGTGGCATTTGTATTTTCTTTCCTCTGGGGAGGAAGCAACAGGAAGAAACCCAGACTGCTCTCAAAGAATGAAATCTCAACCCCTGCAAGAGATCACTTACAGGTACCAAGGACAGGATAGTTCAAGCGTCGTTCCAAATGGAGACAAAGGTCACACTTGCAAACCCTAAATATCTAAGTCCATATGCAGCAGCTCATGCCTGTATTCATATTTCCAAAGAAAAATGAAAGTCTCCCAAGTCACTATCTCTGGGGCAGATTTGGTAGAAAGCCTAAAATTTGGGGTCTTATAGTGACCAAACTAAATATTGATTTATTTTCAAATATGGAAGCAAGGTATAATACTATAACTCAATCAAGGGACAGTACTTCACGTCTCCTGAGGGGGTTCCTTGGAGTTCTCATGCTTACTTTTCCTCAGGTCCTTTTTTCCTACCATTCTGCTTTCTTCTGGTATGTACAGCCTCTTCTGACAAGGTGAACACTGCAGGTATTTAATGAATATTGGGAGAGGCTGGCTGGCTGTGGCGGGCTATTCCTGTACACCCAGCACTGTGGGGACCCAGTGAAGGCGGAGCATGAGTTCAAGCCCAGTCAGGGCAACTTAGAGGCTTAAAAACGCCCTGTCTGCAAATTAAAAACAAAATTAAAAAGAGCTGTGGAGATACAGCTTAGTGCAAAGGTCCTTGCCTCAATTCCCAGAATCATCACCACAATCACACACACACACACACACACACACACACACACACACACAGAGTGTGAGTGCACATGTGAACAGTTGTGTGTACTTCTGTGCCCATCTGTCCTTCACAGGTGGGGGATGCCTTAGAAGGAGAACGAAACAAGCACTCATAGAACCGGAGGAGAAGAGAATCCCCACCATTTTCCCATGCTCCAGGCCTGTGTTAACCACAAAATAAAAACTAAAAAAAAAAAAAAATTAAAGGGAAAATAATGACTTGTATAAAATAACTTAATTGGAAATTTTCATTTTACAGAAATAAAAAATGTCAATTAATTTCTTTTTTTTGAGTCAGGTTCCTTTTTTATTTATTTTTTAAAATGTCAATTAATTTCTTAATGGAAATTCTCTCATAAAACTGACTAATGTTTCAGGATCATTTCCGGAGCAGCATTCTGAATTCATGTGATTAATCAAGCAAATTAAAGTACAAGGAGCAGGGTTGGCTTTCATGGTACAGATAAGGGTAGCAGCAGAGGCAGCAAAGAATGACCTCTTTTTCTATCTGTAATTCTCAGTATTTCTGGGCTTGACCTAATGAAAATACTTGTTTTAGTTACTTCACACAGAAAAGCATGAGGAAAAGTGACTACAACGAAGTGTAGGTGGTCTCCCCCTGAAGAACTGGACAGAAGGTGGACAGGTACCAGAGAGCCCTCTCCTTTTCCTTTCTTCATCAGGCTTAAGAGGCACTGCCCGTTTTAGGGTCGCCTTCTAGAATTTATTCTTCACTTACTAATTCCTTAAGATGAGTGCTCATTTTTTTTTTTTAATTTGTCTTTATTTCTAATTAAAAACATTTAAAGATATAATTTTCCTCTGGCCAGAGCTATCACTGTTTGCTGTAGTTGTAAATATGAAGTGTTCTTTTTATTTGTTCATGTCTGGTATTTGAATTTTTATTTTCTCCTTTTTATTGACCACTTAAGTAGGCAATTTTATTGATCTTCAGCTATTTTAAATTTCATTGAGTATGCTCAGTGAATACGGCTGATAAAACTCTGCTTTTTAAAACACATTATAGCATTCTTTGTTGCTTAGTCCAGGACTAAATTCTGCTTATAGTAGAATTTAACCACTTACCAGCTGACCCTGAGTATCACTTGGGCAGCGTGTGCGATTACACAGACTTTCCTGCGCATCCTCTGAGCAGGTGTCACCTCAGCCAGTCAATCCTTATACTGAATACATTTGCTAAAATTGTTGTTTTTATATTTTCTGTTACATTATCTTTTAAAAATTAATGAAAAAGTACAATTTTTGGTCAATATAAGAAATGAAAAAACTCATCTTGTCCTAATAAAGCTCTTTATCTTGCTTTATTCTGTGTGATGTACAAAACTCTTATTTGTTTTTTGGGTGTTTTGTAGAAAGAAGATATACAGTATTTGGGTATTTTAAAAACTTGATTGCCAATGTAAAGTCTGAAAAACTTGATTTTATTGTTCTTTTTGGATGGTGATGGGGATGGAGCCTGAGTCTCCTAAAGGCGCCACGCTTCCTCTACCACGGAGCATCAGCTCCCGACCTTTCATTTCCATGTCATTTTTTACTACTGATATTACCTTATGTTTTTTGTCTTCACTTATTTTAACTAACAGAATTACATTTATTCCCCCTTTACTCTTTTTTTTTTCAAAATTTTATTGATAAACAGATAGCAATGAGACAGTTTCATATCAAATCGGAAGTATAGTTTCAACAAATAATAAACTGCATATATTCTTCTTAGTGGTTAATTGCTGTACAAGATGTGGACTTGAGATCCTATTTACAAACACCATTAGAACAAATCATTCTATTCATTAGGAGAATACAACTATATATCTATCCTAACCACTTTGAATACACAGATACAAAATGGACATTCATCGGTATACCCCATTTTTTCTAAGTTCCGTTATTGAATACCCCCTTTACTCTTTGTTCACTTGGTTTTCTTCCTCTTCCTGACCCTTCTAATCAACTATTATCTGTCCACCCTTTGATGTAGATAAAGGCAGTGAACAGCTCCCCACCCAGGTGATTCCCTGGCCTCAGCGCAGGAGGAAAGGGCTGTAGTCCACTCCCTGCATCTTTAAGATGGGATCGACACATCCTCTGCAGAGTTCAGGAATTTTATTGCTTCACCTGTTCTGCTGCCCCACTTGAATCCAACACACCATTTGAATGAAAAGAAAACCTTTCCAGGGTTTTATTTAAAAATGCCAAGTAAGAAGTCCTGCAAAGGGCAGGTGAACTCACTTTCCCCACTTCCTGTAACAGTTCTCTTGGAGAAACATGACTTCCTGAGTGAGAATGAAGAGCTCATAATGGTGTGCAAGGGAGGGTGGCCCTGGCCCCCACTCACCTGTGTGCAGGGACAGGTGTCGGGACAACGTCTGCTGCCTGCCAAACACTTTCCCACACACATCGCAGGGGAAGAGCTGGTCATTGAATTTCCAGGAAGGCAATCCGTTTCCTGCCTCTAGGACTATCTTTTCCGTTTCTGGGGCAACAGAACAAAGCATCATGAAAAACTAACAAGGTGACATGAACAATTTCATTTTAATCAAAACCAATGACTTCCTCCTGAAGGTGGCTAGTAGCTATGAAAACACAGGTTCCAGGAGCTGGACTTCAGGCTCACTTTCTGACTCTAAGAATCTGACTCTGTGACAGCTGCGGTGGCAGGTGGGTTCCAATGCCATTCATATCTTCAGCGTTTTCTTTCATCCCTCAAGGGCTTGCTAGAACTGTGCCCAGCACCCAGAAGGTATTCCATTAGTAGTTGCTGAATGAATGAGTAGCTGAGTTGTGTGTTAAAATTCCAGGGACTCAGGCTCTTGCCAACAAACAGTAAATAAGACATTCTAAATCTTAGATTCCAATGTGAAAACAAATGGCCAAATCCTTTGAAAGGAAATACTCTTGCACAGCCCTCCATGATGCTTTGCACTATGTTTTATACCGTGTGAAATTCTTAACAAGGAATTTATACTACACAAACTGAGTGATGGCTACGGCCTGCTGCTCCACAGGAGACTCACGAGTGTGCAAGGGTGTGTAAGAGAACAAGAGGATGTAACCAGAATTTCCTGAAAAGTCTCATCACATTTGGGGAAGTGGTGACTGCCATGAATTACATGCACACAATTCACAACCATGAGTGAAACAAGTGGACGTTAACACGTTGTCGTGTAATCTTTAAAAATATATTTTCTCATTATCATCCAGAGGTTTAACTTTAATTTTCATACTGATATTTCTTTTCTATGAACTGTCATGGATTATACTGTATAAACATTCCTTCTCTGGACAGGTAAAGAGAGGTGACAGAGTGAAAAAGAAGGGGACATTTTGAAGGGGACATTAATCTGAGTCTCACTTTGAAGAACAAGACAAGTAATCCACTGAGCTAATGTCTCATCCTTCATCTCAGTAAATTATAGTGAATTCCTTACAGCACGGGCCTGCACACCCTGTGGGAACAATGAAATCGCAGCAAGAGCTTTCCATAAGGTCCAAGCAGACAAAAATTCTCAGATGACTGGTCAGAGACAACATCAAAAAAAAAAAAAAAATTATTTCACACAATTTAGTTAGAACTGTCTCCCAAATACAGTCATCCACCTGTATTTGGATGAGTCAACTGGATCAATTTTCATTTGAATGAAGATCTGCCAGATAGTGTTATCTAAAAAAAGAAGAAACAATACGATCGGACATTTGGAAGGAGGGGAAGGATGGGTGAAATTGCAGTAATGTTTGCTGTGAGGTGCTCGCCAGCAATCCCAGCACTGATAAAACACACTTATTGATTTATCTGTGTTTGTTAAAACTTAGCTCTTTGGGCCTTGGGGAGAAGAGCAAGTGGTCTTATTCAAGCACAATGTATAACAAAAAACTTCTAAAAAGCAAGGGGCAGAAGTGGGAGGATGGTGAAAAAGGGAGGGGACAGGCCAATTGAACTTCTAAAGACCAGAACCACTCTCCCAAGACTGTCCTTGAGTTCAAGCCATGGGCATTTCAGCCAGGCAGACAGGAGAGGGTATTTTAAGTAGTTCCTTTTAAGTGTGTAATCAAAACAGTGCTTCAAAGGAGGACGACAGCAATAATTATAAGGAGAGGTCAAGAGGGTACAGGGTCTTCTAAGACATTTCCAACAAGAATGAATTAATTGGGTCACAGACCCAACAAGTAGATGCAATTAAAAATAAAGATGTCTCTTAATAATTTTTTCAAGTATTAGCCATGTACTTGAGAAGCTCAAGCACCATAAAAAGTCCATTTCCCTCCATGGCCTTACAAAACGATGACAACTATGAAACGCAGCAGAAAAGACATCACACAGTTATAGTGAGGCTGGGAGGGTTATGACGAAGACACCCAGGACAAAACCCCAGCCGTGTGCCCAGACCCCTAAGCTTGTCCAGGGCTTGCTGCTCTTCCTCTGGATGTCTACATTGGCCACAGTGACCCTTTCTCCTTTCCCATGTAGGAATGCCTTTCAGTACATCTAAGCTGCCACCAAATGTTGCCAGTCTTACCTCATGGATCTTTCTGGGCCCCATCCAACACCTTAATTGAGTTGTCACTTCTCATCAAGCTGTTGCATTCAGATGAACATGCCTCTCTACCTTCCAGGAGCTCCTCCTCACTTCACAGTTTGCAGACAGATATTTCCAAGATGCAAACATATCTTGTCCTGTATTTCAAGGCGCTCAGAGGCCAAACTTCTTTCCAGGGCCACAAAGACCCTTCGTGGGCTCTGGCCACCTCCTATCTTTAGCTCTCTGCTTTCCCTCTCACCGCCCCAGTGCCAGTCAGATGATCTACTGAGCCATTCAGGAGCAAACTATTCTCTTATAAGCGGTCATTGCTTTTGAATCTGTTATTTCTCCATCAAATACTCTCTACACCACTTCAGTTGTATAATAAACCTGAGAACTCTCAAGTAAATCTCAAATTTGTGAACTTCACTTTCTTGGAAAAACCTTCTCCAGTTCCTCAGGTAAGTTTAGTGGTTTCCCTTTTTGTCTCCCAAAGGACTTCTATGATATGAATACTACGACTGCATCACTTTTCCAGACAACATCACTTGTTGATACATTGCTATAGCTGTGATCTGGGATGGCCCCACAGTTCCATTACAGTGAAGGCTTGTGGCCCTATGAGGAGGTTGTAGAACATTTAGGGAAGAGGTCTAGTGGAAGTTAGGCCCCTGGGGATCCTCTGAAGGGATTCTGGGATCCTGGCCACTCCCCTTGCTTTCTGCCTCTTCGCTGCTATGACTTGAGCAGGCTACTCCCACCATACTCCTTGTCATGGTGTGCTGCCTCACCATGGAGCCAAGGTAAGAGCACCAAGGAACCATGGACCGCAACCTCTCAAACTGTGAGCCAAAATAAACCTTTCTTATGTAGAAGCTGATTCCATCAGGTGTTTTGCTACCATAACAGTAAGCTAACATCTTATCTTCTGTATTATATATCTCCTACATCTATGTTTCCACATATCTTTTTAAAATAAAGTACACAGCACAGCTCAACATGCATCAGTGATAATTTTACATGTCCCTTGGCCTCTTTTCCCAGGTAGAATGTTGAGTCATAGGAAGACAAGGCTCTGTATTTGTCATATATATAGTATACATATATATGGCACTTAGTATGCATCTGTTAAATAAATAAATGACTGAATAAAAGGAGTCAAGTGGCCAAGTGAAACAAGGAAATACCTATTATTATTTATAGTAGGAATGACTAGGTATTTAGTAACATTAAGGTTTATCACTCATTCAGCATGAAAAATTAGGCTACCTGCCTTCTGAATGGATATTTGAATTCAACCCCCAAAATGTGCATTTATGATTCTTAGTGAAGATTTTAAAGTCATACCTCCAATGATTTTATGTACTTACTTCTCAACAGTGTCAAGCTGTAAGTTTTTCTCTTTAGAGAATCTTTCTGGCAGACATTGATTACTGCTTAGCCTGCTGGTCGTATCAAATATTCCTTCTCCCCTCCCCTCTCCCACTGTGAGGGCAGCTGGGCATACATTCCTATTAGCTGGCCAATGAATAGGCTTTTGCTTTCCTGATAAGATTAAAGACACAACTGGGTGTTGGTCTTCTTTTCTTTGTTTCTTGCCTTGATCACAGAGGAAACGTCTGGGATTATGGCAGTCACTCTTAGGTAGATGATGACAGCCCAATGCCCAGGATAGGGGAAAGGAAAGCTGCAAAAGAACCAGAGCCCTTGATGATAGCTCACCTAAATGAATGCCAGCAATCATCCATCCTGGATTTTTTTCTTATTGTGAGGAAAGTAAGTTTCTGTTTGTTTCAGCCACTTTTAGGTGGGTTTTCTGTTGCTTATGGCTATTTATTTATTTTGCTTTTGGCTTTCTTAACTGAAACTCCCTCCCATCGGTCTTAGGACTTTGAGGTGAAGTTCTAGTCTTTGCCAACCTTTATTTCCAAACTCTAGCATCCTTTGAGGAAGTCTCCATAAGCATGAGCAATAGTAATAAGTGTGTAGCCAGGAGAACATATTTTCATCTTAGATATCTTCTGTTCTACCTTTAAAAGCCTTATAAGCTTACTTCAGATTCTTAGGGAATTTGCTTTTCAAAATGTTTTACTAAAACACAATGCATGATAGAAAAATATACTTATCAGTAATTGCTTTTGAATCAGTTCTGAAATCCCCAAACAGCTTAGAATATAGCTATCATTTTAACAATTTTGCTTTCTTCATCTTTATTCTCATATCCCTTAGTATTTGTTTCACTATCTTAAGTAACTGTGAATAGGTAAGATTATCATTCCTATTAGCAAACTACTTTAACTGTTTTTTTTATATGGAGTCTTTCAGGATTATTACCTCCTACAAAACATTTGATTTCTTGTCATACACTTATATCTGATTTACAGAAAACTCATAAATGCCTCACTATTTTGGTAGTACACACCCAGCTAGTCATAAGTTTCTTCTCTACTTTTCTACTTTGAGTCTTTATTTTGAAAGTCATTTGGGCTTTCTTAAGTAAGGCTCTTTTTGCTACTATTTTTAAAATTTTTATTATTGGATCTGAGGGCGTCACACATACTGAACGTGTGCTTCACTACTGAGCTACATCCCAGATAACTTTTTGTTTCAAAGGAAACAAAGGGAGTGAACACTTTTATTCCTGTAGGAGAGCTGGAAAAAAGGAATAACATGGTAGGAGAATCACCTTGTCCTCAGGCTCAACATAAATCTCTCAACTGGGGCTGGGGAGATGGCTCAGTAGAGTAAGTGCTTCCCTGGCAAGTGCAAGGCCTGAGTTCAATCCCCGGTTCCGCCAAAAAAAAAATAAAAATAAATAATAAATAAATAAATAAATAAATACATTTCCCAACTCTTCCTGTTTATAGCAGGCTCTTCTTATTCATGAGGTTGAGGCTTAATTGACCAGCACACAATTCAATAAGGAGTGCTTACGACCTAGTGATCCAAGGGCCCA